ACAATTGCTTTAAAATGATTCATAATATAAACATTTTGAGACTTGATTCTAAGTGTTAAACTTAAATTTGAGCCATATAATTGCCTATTGAATGGAAATGAAATCCCACTAGTAGGCAGTTATTTCTTACAGCCACTGTGTGTGAAATTGAAATCTTAAGATACCATTTCAAATATTCACCTTCTCGAAGGAAGTTCTCCCCAAAGAGTTGTGAAAGATAAGAAACTGACCCAAAGTCATACGCAGTAATCTCACTTTCTTTACACACTCAGGTCAAAGCAGAAGCCTATTATTGAAAGGAGACTTTAAGCCAAAAAGACAGGGCCATTCTGAGCTTTCTTTTCCAGAAAGGCTCGATGAATTTATTTTAACAATTGATTTGAGCCCCATGCTAAACTACAACCAACCAACTCACAGGACTGCATTACGTGGCTTGAAGGCTAAGGGCCGTAGTCTCCACAGGTGACAATAACATGGCTCATGGAGGTGCTGCCCTCCATCCTTGTTTGTTGAGTTGCAGCTGTTGCAGCTGTAAGCAGCCTTTTAAGACACACCTACCTACTGGTCCCTTCCCACCCAGAGCAAAGGAGAGTAAAGAAAACCAAAGACTCGAGGAAAGCCTGTAGTCCAAAAGCCTAATGAGCCACACGAACCACAGCCTCCTCTAACCTGAAACCACAAGCACTAGATAATGGGTGAAAAAAATGTAGAATGAAATTCAAATTCATGAAAAAGACCAGCCTTACTGGTCTGAAAGAGACTAGAGGAAGCCCAGAGACTATTGGCACCCTAAGCCACCTTTCCAACTTGGGACTGAATTTGAAAACGCCTCTCAAACAAACAGTGGACTAGTCTATAAAATAAATGGGGAGCTCTGCTGGCCTGGTGGGTAAGGAGTTGCACTGCCAACCTAAAGGCAGGCAGTTTGAGTCCACTCACCTCTGGAGGGGGAAAAAATGAGCAATCTCCTCCTGTGTGATTTACAGCCAGTGACAGTCAGCTGTAAGTCAGTTTCTACTCAATGGCAGATGGCACTGAACAATAACATAAAAGATCGCTAGCCTCCCGGAGGAATGTCCTCCTTAAAACAATCACCTGTAGGAGAACAAAAGGGCAACACATACCCCAAGGTAAAAATGAGAATGAATGGAAATCCAAAGTCTCTGTAAACTTTCATTAAAATTAATTTTAAAAAAATTTTTAAAATGAGAAGGTAGGGAATCTTTAGAAATGGTAAGTGGGGAGTCCACTGTGGAAATGGGAGAGAACTGACCCACTGTGGGAATTGTCAAGGAACTATTTGTGTATAAATTACTGAGGGCAGAACTAATTTGCTGTGCCAACTTTCATCTCAAGCACAATATAAAAAAAATATTTTTTTAAATGATTGCAAGGAAGACAGCTTGCCAGAATTAATTACAGCACACATATCAAGTCATCGAGATCTTGAACATTAGCTTGGAAAATCCTTTTTTGCTTAGGTGCAGTAAAGAGCCATGATAAAAGAATTCTGGTTTGCCTATTTTTTAAAAAATAAGGGCTAGGGTTATAAACGTAGATGAGACATTCTTATTTTAAACACTCGTGTCACTTTTAAATTTAACCTCTTTTAAGATTCCTTCAATGAAGTCTTCTGCCATGCATTTGTGAGCACTTAATACAGGTCAACCTTGGTGGTCCAGTCCACAGGGAGCGGTGCCAGGCTTCCCAAAGGCCCTGCTTCTCTGGAGGTTCAAATCCACCAGTGGCTCCGAAGGAGAAAGATGGGCAATATCCTTCCACATTATTTAAATTATCCTCCCCCAAAACCCACCACAGAATCAGCTATGAGTTATTTCTAACTTGTCAGCAAATGAGAGAGAGTGATAAATGCCATGATCTCTGGTGTCACAGTCGTTAATGAGAATCAGCGCTGACCCAAAGGCTGTGGCTCTCTGAGGGTTCAGATCTTCCCTCGGAGAAGCCACAAGACCGAAAGGAAACTGTCTGCTCCAAACCGGCCATTCTGAGCTTAGCTTATAGAAATGAAGGATGAATTTATTTTAACAATTTATTTGAGTTCTATGCTAAATAAACTATAGCCGACTCACAGGACTGAGCTACAAGGCTTGAAGGTTAAGGACTATAGTTTCTGCAGATATTAATTGACATAACCTAGTTCATAAAAGAGCTGCTCTACATTCTAGTTTAAAACCTTTGAATTCACTAGCTGTTCAAGGGAAAAGATGGGCAATCTCCTCCCATGACAACTTACAGCCTCAGAAACCCAGTGCAGGATTGCTGTGAGTCAGAACCAACTCCTTGGCAGTAAGACTATCTACCAGAAGTGTTCCAGGCATTTAAAGACACTTTGATTTATTTGATCTTCTAACTTTCCTCTTAGGAGGTTCTATGATCACCTGCTATCTAGTCTATTACAACACCATTTGTAACAACCCATGCAGTAGATTCTGTGATCCCAACTTGCAGATGAGGATACTGGGGGTTAAACTTCAGTGTGTGCATCCCGGGTTGACAAAGTTGGTAAACGGTGATTGGCTCCAGATCCCTCACTCTTTCTGCCTAAGAAACTGTGCTGCAATTCCAAAGGCATACAGTTCGAATCCACCAGTTGCTCCATGGAAGAAAGATGGACAGTCTCCTCCTATGCTATTTATTGCCTCTGAAGACTCACTGGAGGGTCAGCTATGAGTCAGTTCTGACTTGACGGTCCTTGGCAACAACATGCTAAGTAATTTTCCTAGCCACATGTAGTTGAAAAGAGCCTAAATCAAACTCAGTCTGATTGCTAAATTTTGGCATTTAATGATCACATTATCAGATTAGAACTAGATAAGCTGCCAATCAATTTTTTAAATTTTCTGATTATAGTATCATATATTTATCACATAATATAGGACTGCCTCAAAATTTTGAGGCTTGCTTTTTTAAAAAAAATTAAAAACACAGGAAACTGCACTGCAATCCCAGAGGTGCGCGGTTCAAATCCACCAGATGCTCTGCTGAAGAAGGAGGAACAATTGCCTCCTGTACCAGTCAGATCCAATTTGACGGTGCACACAGAAAATAAATAAATGAATGAATGAATAAATAATATTTTAAAAAATTAAAAACAAAGATCTAATTGGAAAAAAATGTCATTTTGTACATCTATGGCCTTGATTTGAACTGAAAATTGTCCTTAAGACATTTTTTGGCACATGCAAAGACTTTAATTATATTCAGGAGCCCTGTTGAACAAGTACATTAAGTGTCAGATGGCTGAAGTTCAGCAGTCCAAGCCCACCAGCCCCTGTAGAGTGGACTCAATGGTAGTGATTTCATTTTTGGCTTATTAAGGACCCTGCTATTGTTTATTAGGTGCCGTCAAGTTGACTAAAACTCACAGCAATCGTATCAATAGCAGATCTGACCCCTGTCCTACCCTGTGCCATCCTCATCATCTCAGACAAACTTGAGCCCATTGCTACAGTCACTGTGCCAGTTCATCTTGTTGACGGTCTTCCTCTCTTTCACTGACCCTCCACCTGTCCAAGCATGATGTTCCTCTCCAAGAAATAGCCTCTTCTGACAACATGCCCAAAGTACATGAGGCAAAGCATTTCCATCTTTGCCTCTAAGGAACACTCTGGCTGCACCTTCTTCAAGACATATCTGTTTGTTCTTTTGGCAGTCCGTGAAATATGCGATACTATTCTCAACACCATAACTCAAAGGCATCAATAATTCTTCTCACATACTTATTCATTGTCCAGCTCTCAGATGCATAGCAAGTGATTGAAAAGGCCATGGTCTGAATTAGGCACACCTAGGTCTTCAACTTGACATCATTGCTCCTCAATAATTTGGAAAGTTCCCTGACTGCACTTTCCCAATGCAAGACATCTCTTGTCTCTTATCTCTTGACTGCTGGTACCAAGTGTGCTGATTTGTGGATCCAAGTGAGATGAATTCACTGAGAGCTTCAATCCATCTATCAAGTTGCCTATCAGTTGGTCCAGTGGTGAGATTTTTGTTTTCTTGCTGTTGAGATATAATCCACATGGAAGGCTTTAGCCTTCCATCTTCTGCAAAAGTGCTTCTTGAAATGATCAATCATCAAGGACCCTGGAAGCATAAAAATGAGAGGGGAAATGACGAGAATAATGCAGAAAAAAGTAAATTCTATTTACACTCAGAATGAAGTATCCAGAGATTTACCTTTTTCCTTCAGCCACCACTTTTCAGGGTAAATTACTCCAAGCAATTTATACACTACAGTGTATACACTGTATACACTAATTTATACACTACAGTGTATAAAATAGAAATAAAATGCCTATAATAATTATTAAGATTATCCATCTAAAAAAAGAAACCCAACATAATTTAAAACTAGCATAGGAGTCTCAGGTGGTGCAATTAGTTAAATATTCAAATACAACCTAATGGTGATTTGCAGTACTTCGGAAGAAAGGCCTGGCAATCCGCTTCTGAAAGGCCATAACTTTGAAAGCCCTAGAAGGTTCTATTCTGCAAAGCATGGGGTTACCATGTGTCAGACTCTATTCCACTCTGACTGGTTTGAGCACAAATGGTCTTCAATAATCACTTTAAATGCAGACACTTCCAAAGAAATTTGAGATGCAGGAAAACCAAAGTTACTCAGAGCTCTGATTCTATTGGCCCTCCTCTCTTCTTCCCTTACATTCCTCACTCTTCTGGGACATCTCCTTGGAAGTTATTGGGAGGAGACTGAACCCCAACATCAAATCTGCTTACTGCCCTTTTTTGATCCCCAAGCAAAAGGAGCTCCTCATTGCTCTTGATCATTGGAAAAGTGCTTTCTCTTGTACAGAGTATTTACTGGCACTTTGCAGGGGGCCAGTTAAACCGCAGGTCTGCCTTTCGAAAGATGCTGAGGGAGGGAATTCTGGCGCCAGCAGATGGAGAGGAGACCCGGACCTGCGTGGTCCCTCCCTCCGGGATTAGCGGCCCCTAGCACGCTCAGGCGTCCCCAGCCCGCGCGGTGCCTGCTCGCACAGCTCCAATCGCGCGTCGGTGGTGCGCACGCAGCTACTCGCCCGCAACCAGCACAGCCGCGCCACCGCGGGTTTCCCCGCACCCCACGTCGGTGGACCCGGGACCTCGAACCCCCGACGACGCAAACGCTTCTGTACGTGTTTCTTTTACTGGCTTGTCTTCCCCGTCCCCTGCCCCTTTGCACTGCGTACGGGTTACTTTAGTGTTCGTTAAACCAGAAAGGAAAGATGAGCAAGGGGACGCTCTAAAGACGAATTTTAGGTTATCCAGTCTCCCCTCCTAGAAGAGGTGTTCCCAAAGTGACTCTCCGGGTCCCCGACGCGGGCCCCTTTAAGAAGCCAAGTCAGTCCTAATACTGCCGCTGTTTATGTTGCTAATCCCCAGGAGCCCCGTTTAAAAAGAAAGGAAAAAAGAAAAAGAAAGAAAGAGGGAGAAGGGGGGCAGGCAGCTGTCTCTTTAAATGTGATTTCCTTCTATTGTATTTGAATCGTGATCAGGAAAAAGGAAATGAAACCAGAGACAGAGGGAAGCTGGGCGAAAATAGACCTTCCCG